GAGAGAGAGAGAGAGAGAGAGAGAGAGAGAGAGAGAGAGAGAGAGAGAGAGATTTGTAACATTGCAATTTGTCCATATGTACATAGCGATGACATTTGTTGACGACATTCTCATCTCCTTCCCGTCTTCGTCTCATTCCCCTTCTCCTCATCCGTGTATGATCTTAGCCTCGCGCTTTCTTCCTGTGTGCAGCGCCAGACCCCTCACACTATGCGATAATCATGATGTATGTTCCATCTGCATTTCGATCCTATCTATCCTACTATGACCAGCTAATGTGTGTGTGATTAATTGACTGATTTTGTGTGTGTGTGTGTCTGTGTGTGTGTGTGTGTGTGTGTGTGTGTGTGTGTGTGTGTCTGTGTGTGTCTCTATATGTGTGTGTGTGTGTGTGTGCGGGGGGGAGGGGAGGGAGGACACCTCTCCCACCAATCAGTCAGTCAATCAATCAATCAATCAACAAATCAATCAATCGATTGATTGACGGATTGATCGATTGATCGATCAATCGATTGAGCACGAAAGTTACACAGTTCCAGAGAGAGAGAGAGAGAATCGCGACCAGGATTGCACATCTCGAACGTCGGGATCAATATCGGGGTCGGGATCACGGCGATCAATCAATTCAGTCAATTGATACCGGGGTTGAGGTCGGGATATCGGGGTCGGGATGAATATCGGGGTCGGGATGAATATCAGGGTCGGGATCTTGATATGTCAAGATCCTATAAAATCAATCGATCCGAAATGATCTTGATATGTCAAGATCCTATTGAATCAATTGATTCGAAAGGATCTTGGTATGTCAAGATAGACAGTTCGAACTGTCTATCTTGACATATCAAGATCTTTTCGAATCGATTGATTCAACAGCATCTTGACATATCAAGATCATTTCGGATCGATTGATTCGTTCGGTGTGTGCACGCGCAGGGGAGGCGACCCCCATGGCAACCAATCAATCAATCAGTAAAGAGCGGGGGAGGCGCACCGGAGGCGACCCCCCCGACAACCAATCAATCAATCAGTAACTATGTGTGTGTGTGTGTGTCTGTGTGTGTGTGTGTGTGTGTGTGTGTGTGTGTGTGTGTGTGTGCATGGGAGGCGACCCCCCCCGCAATCAATCGATTCGTTGATTCATTGATTGATTGATTGCAAGCGCGTCAAGGAGGACGTGGAAGCGCAAGCGGGGGCGACAGCGGGGTGCCAATCAATCAATCAATCAATCGAAAAAAGAAAAAGCGAAAAAATCGAAAAACGCCGTTTTCAAACCTCGTGGATATGTGTGTGTGCGATTGATTGATTGATTGATTGATTGGAAGTCGGGGCCGAAGGGGGAGATGGCGCAAACAGACGTGGAACCGGAACCGGCGACGAAAGCGTTTTTTTTTAATAAGTTTTAATCAATCAATCAATCAATCAATC